GTTTCACACGCTCCTCTTGTTCTTCACTTTCCTCCGTTAAGAGCGATTCACTTGCATTTCCCCGTGTGGCTACTGATGCAGTGGAAGTTTGTCGTGATATTTCAGGCAAGCGCTTCTTAATACGTTGTATAATCTGTATGTTGCCGTTAATATTTGTGACATTGCCGATTCTTACATTTGACGAGTTCTCTATGTGCACATTCTCCAAAGTTTGCACGCTATTTATTGAATTGAGTAGTTCACGTAGATTTTCTATGACCACAGCCATATCCGTAGGAGCTAAGCAATAGAAAATAAGGGAACAAGTGCAGAATAAGGCCCGTTTTTCAAAAATTCACCCTTTAGCCCTCCATAGCACCTACAATATAAGTTTGCCACAAAGATTTGTATACCATTAGAATTAGAAAACACCACGCCCACTTTTCTGCTTTTTTTCTAGCTTAACGGGTCGTAGTACGCACGTGTGCGGTTATGTGCCTTAGCCCCTCCACAGTCCCAAAATTATGTTTGCCAAAAAAAAAAAAAAAAAAAGAAAAATTGCATACCACTAAAATCAGAAAAAAAGGGAGGACCAAAAAAGGGAGGACCACGCCCACTTCTGCGTTTTTTCTAGCTTAACGGGTAGTATTCTGCACTTAAGCCAAGTGTTAATAAAAATTAATTTGAATTTGCTAATAACTACTACTTACTGTACTGCGTGCCTAATACTTTGGTCGTTAAATTGTTGTTTGTTGAGTCGAAATCAGCTTCTGCTTCAGTTTCGTAATCGCCATCACTGCTGGATATGATGGACGAATCTGCCAATGAAGATATATCATCTTCTATTCCAGAATTGCCCAATTGTTCCTGCCGTTCGATCCATTCCCGTGTCGCTGCTTCNTCAGCACTATCTGATGGTGTATGTAAAGTTTCAAAGCGTAATTTTAAAAGTAATTTGTTGCGAAAGTTTGTAAATTTAACAATCTTGTATGGGCACTATTTCACGATATAAAATGGAGTTTGCACTAAATTTACACGGGAATTACTCACAATATATGTGCAATTAGAGTGCACCATCTAACAAATAAATACTTTT